TACCAAAAACATCCTCCGAGAGCAACTTCTCCCAACCATCCAAGAACAGTTTGGTGACAAACAATGCCTTTTCCAGCATGATGGAGCACCTTGCCATAAGGCCAAAGTGATTACTAAGTGGCTTGGGGAACAAAGCATTTAAATTTTGTGTCCATGGCCAGGAAACTCCTCAGACCTTAATCCCATTGAGAACTTGTGGTCAATCCTCAAGAGGTGGATGAATAAAAAAAAAACACACATTCTGACAAAGTCCAAGCATTGATTATGGAAGAATGGGCTGCCATCAGTCAGGATGTGGCCCAGAAGGTGATTAACAACATGCCAGGGTGAATTGCAGAGGTCATGAAAAAGAAGGGACAACACTGCAAATATGGACTCTTCGCATAAACTTAATGTAATTGTCAAATTGACACTTATGAAATCCTTGTAATTATACTTCAGTATACCATAGTAACAACAGACAAAAAGATCTAAAAACACTGCAGCAGCAGATTTTGTGAAAATTAATATTTGTGTCATTCTGAAAACCTTTTGCCAGGCCTGTACTAGTTGTATCACAAGGGCAAATTTGCTTCTGGGATCGTAGCAGTGATGTTGACCATACAATCTACAATATTATGACAATTTCGGAAGAATAAAAAAATGACATTGGATCGAACAGTCACAGCAATCTGCCTCCCATGAGTTAGATTCTTACTAGTTTTGAGAAGCCAATCATCCTTGGGGTGGAATTCAATAGAAAACTTTGCTATTTTCACCAGCAACATTTGCTCTATCGAAAATGGGAGATTTAAAGTGTTGGAAAGCTGCCACAAACTGCCAACCATATGGTTAGCAAAAGAATTGTGCCTATGTAATGTCTCCATCTAAACAGCAGACGATGTATCGGTTTGTGTTGGCGTAGAAGTAGGAGTTGTGTTTATACAGTAATAGCTCCTACTGTGTACAAATAGCAAGCACTGGCCATGTTTGGGCTAGACCAGCAGTAGGCGCTGCGTGTATGGAATAGAGTGCAAGCAGCCAGTTTCAGGGAGGTGTCTGCCAGCCTCAGGATGCTGCATTATGGGCCAGACTCCTTGGAGAGCTGTGATCATTCAAGTGCTCAGAACTCATTAGGGATAAATCAAACCAGTAACAGCAGGAAGCAGAAACAGTACACCCAGTGTTCAGCAATGTTCCCCCTCCCATACCCCAGTGCCTCCCACTTCTCCTAAGACTCCGAATATTCTACCTCCTCCCAGATCATGATGGGGAGGATGAATGCACACAAGCCGAATTGCTCCTTCTCACTGCCTCTCATTTGCAGGGAAACTGCACAGGAAAAGAACACCCTTAACTCTATCCTTCCCAGCAGTATCTGAAAAAGATTGCTGGTCAAACTGAGACATTCACCAAATAGACAGACTCCAAATGACACATGGCAGCAGAGTACCTGGACAGCCAGTCAGAGGCTGGGTACAGGGACCCGGGGGTCCCAGGAGGGGAGGATAAGAAGGAAAGGTTGGGGAGGGTGAGGATTTGCAAATAAAAGTTCACGAAGCAGAAAATAAAAAAGCAAATCATACAGATGTGCCAATTTTCAGGATCATTGCTCCGTCTGCCCTCTCTCTGTGGTGAAAGGGTAAGTCCCCTGGGACCCCTGGCAGCAAAACATGGAATGTCCCTTTATTAAGAAGCAGACCTCATTCAGTTACAGAGCTGAAAGTTGTATTATTTTTAATTACGGATGCCCTTAGGTGCCATACACCTGCAGAAAAAGACAGTTTTAAACCTTCTGTGATGATAATTAGGACGGGCTGTTACCCACTTCTGAGGTTGACAGACAAGCCCTCATATGGAAGATGCAACTGTACGAAGACGGCGAATGTGGCAAATGTAAGACCCCTCCAGTGGCTCTTTCAGCAATGAGAACCCCCACATCAAACAAGGCCAACCACTCAACCTGACAGATCTTCTGTTCCAGCCATTTGATCCTGAATAAATATCTACTGGCCTAAAAAGTTGTTACCAGACCATACATCAGGCTGGTCATCTGCAGAGTATGTCTAGAAGTGGGTTTTGCGGGTAACTAAACACAAGGCATTGGGTAGCATTTTCCCACTGGTCAGTTTTGCAATTCTAAGGTTCCTGGCACTGTCCAAATAGGGTTCTTGTGTTCCTGTTGTGTCATCATTGGTTTCCTTCTTCATCTTTCTTACAAAATACTCACTAATTAAGCTTATGACTAAAACAGTGGACCTGGAATTAGGATGGATTCATACCTAATGTGTGTAGGTCCAACCTGTTTTGGATGTGCTTTTGGGGCACTACTCTTCATTTCTGGTGGGTCCAAATGCACTGGCCTTTAGTAAATATTGCACCTGGCCTACAACAATCAAACATCTAAAAAACATGCACTGTTTTGTGGTGAGATGGGAAGAAAAGGGTCAGGAAGATTTTTTTAGTGTGTAAATGCTCGTTGGAAACCCATAGGAAATGAATGAGCAAAGATATCATAATATGAATTGACACATTAGGGAAGGCATGCACATTGGTGTAAAGGGTCCTTATGTTCTGGGTACTGGCCTGTAATCTCTTATATGTGAGAACTGAGCAGAGTGCTTCCATTACCTCTGCAAAGAACTGCAGAATATGATGGTGCTATACTATATAGATGATAAAGAATACCCTCTGTTGAGTCTGCTAAAGCAACATGATATGTTTGAGAGAGAAAGAAACCATAAAGTCTGTAATATATCCAGTTATAATGTATATGAAATCTTTATGGGTAAAGGGGATAATGCCCATAGAATGTAACAATTTGTCGATACAAATTTTCATTATTTACAACGTACAAAGTCTTCGGTCCCTACACAATTGCAATTGTAAATAATACACTTTGTAGTAAAATGAGCCAATGTGATTTTAAATTTCCCACAATTGCTAGATAATAGCATAGCCTTGGCAAATGTTGTAAGTCTCCCCTGTGTCTATATGCTGTATGTCATACATGGGCCCAGGAACCTTTACTCTTCCAAATACAGAAAGACATCACTCAGCATCTCTGTACAAATGCTTTCACCTCCTGGAGCTTTGTCACCCGCTTGGCTGCTCAAAAACAAAGCCTTCCTTTGTCTCCCGTCATGACTTCTTCTCCCTGTCACCACACAGAAGTGTTGAGGGCACAAACGTTCCTCTGCTACCAAACATTCATCTGCCATGTACAGCAAGCTGCACAGGGTTAACACACAAGCATGTATTCTGGAAAATGCAAGTGTCAGTATCAAGACGTTTTCATAAGAACTCAGCATGTCAACATCTTTGTGATTACATATATAACAGTAATTTTGGACACTGATAACATAGCCGTAGCTGCAAAAACAATCTGAATGATGGATAGACTGGCATGTTACAGTTTCCGTTAAAGATTATCAAATGTTTTGCATGTATATGATATTTAGGAAAATCGGACAAGGAGGAATTCTTAATTGCTTTTAGGGTTGCCACCCGTCCTTTTTTGAACCAGTCTGGTTTTCCAAAGTGCTTTCTGAGCACTCTCATCACTATCCAATTTTGGGGTGGGTTGTGTCTTTTTTTCAGCCTGCTACTTTCTTGCCTTGTCCCATGGCCTGCACCCTTCAGCTCTAGCTAGGAAACCTTCCCGCTAACCTATTATCCTCATTGTTTCATGCAGTAGGGGATTTTACGGCTTAACCACACTTACTGTAAAGAAGCCCTCCCTAAACTGGTGGTGAAGTCTTCTCTCATCCATACCAATTTGTCCCCTTATTCTCTGTACAGTCGTTAGGATAATAAGTAATTTTTTCAAATCTTATTACTGGACATTGATATATTTAAACATATTAGGAAGTTGTGTCTTAGGCTTTTATTTTGCCACACACTGCACACATCCATCTCCTTACCATTTTGTATTTTTCTGTTGTGCATTAAAGGACTTGCTTCCTAAAAATAATAAACGGGCAGCACAGTGCCTAAATGGTTATCACTTTCGCCTGGCAGTACTAGGGTTGTTGGTTCAAATCCCAACCACGACATCACCTGCCTGAAGTTTGTATGTTCTCACTGTGCCTGTGTGGGTTTCCTCCAGGTACTCCAAAGACATGCTGGTAGGTTAATTGGCTCCTGTCTAAATTGGCCCTAGTATGTGTATGTATGAATGTAAGTTAGGGACCTTAGATTGTACACCCCTTGAGGGTTAGGGACTGATGTGAATGTACAATATATATATGTAAAGCTCTGCGTAAATTGACGGTGCTATATAGGTACCTGTAATAATAATGTTTTTTTTCCAATGCTTCCTGATCATTTTGCACAAGGGAAATGCTATTCAGGGAACACCTAAAAAAAGTGTACTGAATCTCACACTTGCTTTAAAGCTTCAGTAATGCTCTGATAACCAGGATGTGCCTGTCCTAACCTTTCATGTTGCTGGTCCCTGTAGGAGTCCACGCTGTGCCCGTCATGGTAGGCATACCCACAGAGAGCCTGGGAACCATAGGAATGGACCATAACCCTGAATCTGTATATCAACGTAGGTGATATCTTCATTTGTTGCACTCAGTACCAAGGTGAACACCTAAGCAGGAACCAGTTCCCAGAGCAACATTACAAGCGATCCCCACAACATGGGGGCCTAGGTCCAGTCTATAAGGTATTATCGAAATCTGGACTGTCAACTGTGATCAGCTGGGGTCATTTTGATTAGCTCAGCATGAAAAGAGCTTTCCTGGAGCATTTCAGTCCACAGTAGTGCATCTGTAGCAAACAATCAACTATGGGTGGCAAGGCACTGTCAAAAGATCTCGGGATAAAGTTGTGGACAGGCACAAGTCGGGAGATGGATACAAAAATGTTTTTAAAGGCTTTATCAATGCCTTGAAGCACACTGCCTATTATTAACCGCTTCCTGTCCGCCCTATAGCAGAAATACTGCTACAGGGTAGCACGGGTGCGCAAAATCACGTATATATACATGATTTTGCATTTTTGGGTAGGGGGCACGCTGCCATTCGCGGCCGTCAATCACCGGGTCCCAGGCGGTAATTACTCACCGGTGCACGGTTATTTCAAAGGATCTCCGACGGGAAAGAAGACTGTTTTGTTTACTAGCAGTCCTCCTCCCTGTCAGCTATGGCACATTGCGCTGGATGGCTGTGCACAGCACAGCCATCCAGAGCAGTGTGAATACAGTGAAGCACACTGACACAGCCCCCTAGTAAAACACTCCCTGCACACAGTTAACTCTCTGATTGCCCCTCATGTTAGCCCCTTCCTGCCTAGTGCCATTAGTACAGTCTCAGTGCTTTTTTTTTAGCACTGATCACTGTATTGGTGTCACAGGAGATGTCAGTGACACCAAGTCAGTTCCCCCCAGTATCAGAATGTCCGCTGCAGTCCCGCTATAAGTCGCTGATTGCCACCATTACTAGTAAAAATTAAAAAAAAATTCCAGTATATATACTACCATTTGTAAGCGCTATAACTTTCACGTAAACCAATTAATTTACATGTATTGGGATTTTGTGTAGCAAAGACATGTAGCAGAATACATTTTGGCAGAAATTTATGACGAAATGGGATTTTTTAAATTTTTTTTACTGGACATGTAAAATAGCAAAAAGTCAAAAATATTGTTTTATTCTCAAAATTGTCGGTCTTTTTTTTATAGCGCAAAAATAAAAAATGCACAGATGATCAAATACCACAAAAAGAAAGCTCAATTCGTGGTAAAAAAATGTATGCAAAATTCATTTGGATGCAGTGTTGCATGACAGCGCAATTGCCAGTTAAAGTACTCAGTGTTGTAATGCAAAAAATGGCCTGGTCAAGAAGGGGGGGAAGATCCTCAAGAGGGCTAGTGGTTAAGAAGTGGAAGGATTTGGTACAACACAGACCCTCCCTGGATCAGGAGGTCATTCCAAACTGGATGAAATAGCCAGGAGGAAACTGGCCAGAGAGACTACCAAGAGGCCTACAGCAGCTCTGAAGCAGTTGCAGGAATTTACTGACATAGTGTGGCCATTGTGTGCATGTGACTACAATATCACAAATCCTCCACAAATGGAGCTTGTATGCAAGAAAAAAGCCTCTTCTCAAGAAAGGCCACATGCAGTCACGGCTGAGCTTTGCCAAAATGTACCTTGAAAATTCTGAGGCCACATGGAAAAAGGTGTTCTGGTCAGATGAGACTAAAATTGAATGATTTCACCTCAACACCAAACAATATGTCTGGTGGAAATCCAATCCAGCTCACCATCCAAATAACACCATTCCTAGAGTAGAGCATGGAGGTGGTAATATCCTGTTATCAGGGTGTTTCTCTGCAGCAGGGACTGGAGCACTTGTCAGGATAGAAGGAAAAATGGATGGGGCAAAATACCATCAAATTCTTGAGGAAAATCTGCTGTCTTCTAACAGAAAGTTGTCCATGGGAAGAAGGTTTGCCTTCCAACATGACAATGACCCAAAGCACACAAAAAAATGGCCACACAGTGGCTGAAGGAGAAAAAGTTGAATGTCCTTGCATGGCCTAGTCAGAGCCCAGACTTAAACCCCATTGAATATCTGTGGAAGACTGCAGTCCACAAACGGTCACCATCAAAGTTAACTTAACTTGGGCAGTTCTGAAAAGAAGAATGGGCAAATATTGCAAAGTCTGGATGTGCAAAGTTAGTAGAGACATCCCAACAGACTAAAGGCTGGAATTAAAGCAAAAGGTGGTTCAACAAAACACTAACACCATGGGGTGATCCTTTTTCCAACTCAGTGATTCTATTAAATACAGCTGGATAAAACAAAAAACGTGTCTGTCTTCATTTCATATTGCAAAGCAACAAAATGTGATTGTTTTAAAGGGGGTGGTTCTTTTCTACATTATTCCAATTTTTTTCTGAAGAAAACTAACTTGTAATTTGAAGTCTGTAGTGTATAGGCACTGCAACAGCACAAAGGAATAAACAGTAGGTACACATAATGGTGATCTGTATCCTAAATGGGGTTATCTATTAATGTAAAGCTATTTATAGCTGAAAAGTCGTAATAATGGTACCTACCTGTCACATTCTAATGTCTAGTCTCCCTGACTGCATATCAGTCGTATTATTTTCTGGTAACACACTGGCAGGAAATATGGGAAGTATGGATATGTCTTTAATCTTCGAGAGGCCAAGTGTTTTCACATGATTCAATCAACTCACCAAGCAGCACTTCTCTGTACCTTTTAGCTGCTTAAGAGGCTACAAGAGACTCACATGTACGTCAAACATCCCATTAAATATGAAAACAGCAAGAAATTGCGCAAGGGATTTGGCCTCTGTTTATTACTCATGGCTCTCCATCCTAAAAGGATCACTTCTCACCCCCCCAATATTGTATTAGGTGCTGTATTATATCAAATGCATAAAATCAAACTGCTTGTCCATTTCAGCTATTGAATATTATTTCAGCTAAATGCACCAAGTCTGGAACCATTAGATACAGTAACCATTGCTGCATGGCCTGGGCACATGTCCTAAGTGATGGTCATTTTTTTTCTGACATAAGTCTCTAAGCTCTGGTTCACACTGAATGCAACTTTGAAATCATGCCACTTGAAGTAGCGTGATTTTAAAGCTGCAGATCAGTGAGAGATTTGTACCTCCGATTTCTCTGTGGCTTGCAAACTCATTTACCAGAAGTCAATGCAAGTCACAATGAAAGTTGAAAAAAAGTAGTGCAGAAACCATTTTTTAAATCACGCTACTTCAAATTGCACTGATTAAGACACTGCCATAGAAATACATTAGATGCGACTTCAGGCGCAATTTGTAAATCCTATGTGGCACCTGAAGTCGCACCGGTGTGAAACAGGGCTTACATGCAGATAACATCAAAAATAAAAAAAACATTTTTTTCCCTGCATGTGGCTCTCAAATATAGTCACAATGTAGACATGGTACGATTTGCAGCCCTTGAAAGGGTTTTTGAGGATCCACGTGGTGGACATTTTCATCAAAGGGTGCTGCAGAAAGAGGCGAGAAGGATTTATATTTTAAATGCTACCTCTCCTCCTGGCCTTAATGAGGCATTGAGCTATACAGCCCTTTTATAGGATATATATTCTTACAGCCATTGTTATGGATAGTCTGTGTGTTCTCCCCATTGGATGTTTGATGTTTCCCTGTTTACGTTAATATCATTGGGCCAGGCTATAACCATCTGGTCCTTGCTGTTACTGGAACATCCCATTTGTGAAAATGATGCTATGGGGCGTTAATGCTGATCTATATGTAAATTTGATTTTTAATTTTTGCATTTATTATTCTCCACATTTATGTAACACGTCAAGGAGCGGGGTTCTATGGGGTTGGAGACGCCTATTGGTGGTTTGGTCTGGATGGATGTTTTGACCCTTAGCTTATGTGTCGCCCTTATAGACATCCTACAGATTCCATTTATATATGGGTGAGCTGATTGATATAATTAACAAGGCTTTGCCCATTGGTTTGGAATAGATGTAACTCATATACTCGGCTATGGATAATATATGGTGGGTTTGACAGATTTTGGGTCATAGATCCACCACGGTGGTGGAGTTGAGGTGGTGGAAGCCGAGCGGTGACTGCGTTTTTGTTGTTGGATGGCCTGTGGACTGTGTTGAGGATGGTGTATATGCATACGATGGTTACCATCTAGAAAAGATGGTTGTCATTGGCGCTTCTCAGACACGAGTGGCACTTCCGCCCATGCACTTCTAGGGCGGAAGTGACGTAGGCACGCATGCACGTTGTGCGCTGACCACGGAATGGGTGGTTCTTTCCCATGGGACCATTTGGTCCGGTACTGATTGATTACATCATTTAAACGCTGCAATAGATGAGTGTTTTGGTGCTAGCAGGGAAGGATGCATCTACAGAGCAGTTGCCGCAACATGGTTGTATTGGAGGTATGATAGAGGTTTATTTGGGTCGGCATCTTGGTACAGAGGGTCAGAGGTTGGAAACAATATTGAATATGGACACTAATTTATATAATTATAGGAGTCACACATTGATGCTTCTGCTGATTGATACTGGAGAATTTTTGGACAAACTACCTAGTGATATTGCTGTTGCTGGGTGGACATTTCTAGCTCCCCCTTGGATCTGGGCTTATCAGGTATGGATCTACTCATTTAAGGTGGAGTGGTAATGATGGAACATGGAATATATTGATATCCCCTTTGACTCTGTATGTTATTACTATTATGCCTAGATGGCCTCGGGGAGAGGGTGCATAGGAGATATTACAGAGATTTACATCGGCATGTAGCTATTGTTGCCATGTGTTTTCCTTTATCAGTGAATCATCTAATGTGAGTCACATTTGGGATGTTTCTTTTTACTTCCCCCCCCCCCTTTTTCTTTGTGTTCCCCCTTTTCCTCTCCCCCTGTTTGCCTTAGGATGCAATATGACTATGTGTTTATTGCAGGGCCTTAATTTATGCACCATGTGGGGATATGGCCATATGGGCGGATATTGATCTGGGACCTTTTTAACCACTATGTGGATGCTGTTGCCCTTAATTACCACTCATGTTGACATGTGAGTTTGTGGAGAACGTTTCCTTTTGGTAGTGTTATGTAATGATAATTACTTAACTAATGTGTTGCAAATATATGCACATATGTATCTTCCAGCTAGGATACTGGACTTTTTTGTCTTCAACTCCTTTGGGGTCCTAAGGAAGCGAACAAGCGAAACGCGTCGACCTCTGGAGTACTTTGATGACATGATATATAATGCTGTGATATATTGGGCTGATTAGCCAAAATACTGTTTTTATGGTAAATTTTTGGAAGATATGTTTCAATAAACATGTTTTATACAACAATATGATGTTGTCCATTTTCTGTGCCAGTAAAGTCCCATTTGGTTTTTATGGTTCCTTATATGATAGATGAGGGATGAGGTACGTTTGCAGTCTGATTTATATAACTCCCTCCTTGGCAGACAAATGCTGTGTTTGGGAGTTGGTGCAGTCTTAAAGAGATATTAAATCTAAAAGCAAACATTTATTGTTTTACAGTTTACTAATTCTTAGATGTGATGGCTGCATTTGTTTTCTTTTTAGGCTTTCTTTCCTTCATTTTCACCTGGTGCTTCAGCCAGTATGTTTTTTGTTTTTCAACAGAACAAACTCTCCTGCAAATTTATCAGTTAGAGTGTTGAGACAAACCATTTAACACTAACAGGGGGGCTTACAGTGCTCAGCTTTTATTTTTTCAGGTAAATCCTTTATCCAAAAAGGAAAAAAAAAACTGTTTTCTGTAAATGATTCTGTAACCGCAGTGTGAGCTGAAGTTTGGCTTCAATTTGTTAGTGTATCCAAATCTTCTAGTACATCTAACTCTACTCTCTCCCCAGTTGGACAATACTACTGTCCAAAAGCTGCC